TGACTAGGGGAAATGGCACCTTATGAACTTCTGGGCATGGTGTCCCTAATATGGTGACTTGTGTGAATGTTTAATGATTAGTTGTAACTTTCAAAGCATCTTCGAGAAAAACCACTTGTGCATTCAGGAAGACCTTCCATTTTCTTTCTTTGCAGGAAAAATCAAGGATCTATTTCCCAACGATGCTATTGACAGCTCCACCATTCTGGTGCTGGTGAACGCCATCTATTTCAAAGGGCAGTGGCACCAGAAATTTAAGGAAGAAAACACTGTCGAGGAAAAATTTTGGCTGAGCAAGGTATTGTGTATACTTATATTCTTTTTAAAAAATTTTTTCTTTTTCTATTTTTTTTTAATGAAGAGAGGGAATTAGATGTATTTATTTATTCTTGGAGGAGGTACTGAGGATTGAATCCAGAACCTCATGCATGCTAAGCGTGGGCTCTACCACTTGAGCTATACCCTCCCCTTATGATTTATTTTCATAACGTAATACAGCTCTACGTGAAATGTGAAGTTTACATACATAATGATTAATGTACAACTGCACGTAGAAAATCAAATTTGTCAAGGCTCTCTTTTTATGTAATTATTTTTTCTTTAATTGCTTGGGGATTCTTGTAGAAACTCTTGTCTCTAACTCACAGATTTCCCAAATCATCTCTTAGAAGGAGGATGGGATAGGTATCTCAATAATATTCTCTTTTTTTTTTTTGACTTGTGTTGACTTGGCATTTGTTTCCACATTAATTTCTTGCAGGATAGAAGCAAATCTGTGCAGATGATGAAAGAAACCAACGACTTCAATTTCGCCTCCCTGGAGGACATGCAAGTCAAGATCCTGGAAATACCGTACAAAGGCGGGGAGCTAAGCATGATGCTGCTGCTGCCCAATGCAGTAGATGGACTGCAGAAGGTAAAGCCGTGCCCCTCCAAGGCTTCCTACTGTTGCTTCGATTCCTAGCAATGCAAACAAAATAGGCTGTTCATACATTGGTGGTGCTGGCTGGTAGAGATCCAGCACAGAACAAACAAATAAAATAAATACTTTACGGATCACAGTATGATAGGAAGAATATATAGAAATTCTGTCCATCACAGGTCACATTAATATTCTGATGAAACTATGGAATGTCAGTTCACAAAACTATGTACCTAGTCGCACACCTTAATGTTTTGCAGCCATAACAACCTGCAATATATTCCAGTCCACTCATTTAAACAAGAAAATAACATTCACATGTAGGGGACAGATGGAAATGTTTGCAAGTTCATTCACAAACAAGACAAGGAAATGGAAATAACACAGGTAACATATTGCATACTTAATCACAGTGGTTTTGTAAACTGTGGGCAAATAGATTTATTTTGATCCCCACTTTTCAATTTTAAATTATTCTGTTCTGAGGAGCCCAAAAGTCATTCAGAGCTCACTGCTTGCAGTAAAAAAAAAATAATAATAATAATAATTAGAGAATGTTCCTCTTCTCATGTTACAATAGTTAAAATTAATATGTAAAAATGGCAATATACAATGCCGATATCTTACATATAAAGGACATTGTGTTAATGGTCGTCTGCAGTTACTGGAGTAGCTGCTGCTGACGCTGACGTGGCAGTGAGCTTGCCACACTCAGAGTATGTACGGAGTGACACTGGCAACTGGAAATCCTCGGGGAAAGTCCTGTGGCAATAAATGTGAACAAACATCAGAGTATTCTTGCTCCAGCTCTGCAGTCCCCATTATCCGGGATCCCGGGAACCCCAGTTCTGGGATTTTAGCCTATGATAACATGTCTAAATGAGGCAAACGCTTTTGGACAGAAGTGGCTCAAAATAATGAAAAATTTTAAACAAGGAACAATGGTACATGCTTGTGTTACCAGTAGTTTAGTTTAGGGATTGACACGCAGTGAAGGTATATTCACACAGATGTTCATTAAATAAAGATAGATACACTGAGTATGAATTTAATGAAGTATCATGTAACAATTTAAACCTAATTAGAGAAATAAAATATATATCTCTATGGGAAAAGTTTACAAGTAGTTCAAGCAATAGAAAAGAACAAACGTAGGATGTAAGCTATGAATGCACAACATAAAACTTTATGAAGGAAAGGACATTAACAAAGAAGTCTTTGAAAATGAGGCGTGTCACACATCCAGAGCATGAGAATTGAACAGTTCATCTTTTACAAAATCATTTTATTTAATGATTCTGTTGCTGCATATATGTATATATTTATATATTTATACCTATATACCATGTATAGATATTTATAACTATGCATCTAATTATGTGTACACATATAGATAAAAATAGCAAAGTCACGAACATATAAGATCTTTTATTGATTATATAATATATTTTCAAGTCTATGTTACTTTTGCCTCCTCAGATTAAATCTAATGAAGTGAATCTCCTGTACTTACACTTACTGTTAAGATAAAGGTTCCCCACACGTTTCAATCCAGTGTTAAGCTGGGCTCCACGTTCTTGTTTTCCATCATTACAGCTGGAAGATAAACTCACTGCTGAGAAATTATTAGAGTGGACGAGCTCACAGAATATGAGGAAGAGTCAAGTGGATTTACACTTACCTCGGTTCAAAGTTGAAGAGAGCTATGACCTCAAGGGCATACTGGAAGCCCTGGGGGTGGTGGACGCCTTCAGTTCACAGGATGCCGACCTCTCGGGCATGACCAAGAAACACAGGCTGGTGGTGTCTAAAGCCGTGCACAAATCCTTTGTGGAGGTGAATGAGGAGGGCACGGAGGCCTCAGCGGCCACAGCCATAGTAATTCGTGAAACTGCAGCATTACGTTATGAACATTTCCATTGTGATCACCCCTTCCTGTTCTTCATCAGACACAACAAGACCAACAGTATCCTCTTCTTGGGCAGACTCACTTCCCCTTAGATGTGGTTACCCTTGCACGGCCCTAGGGGCACATGCACAGAGTCCTTCTGATACACTGATTGCTGGAAGCAACAGGTTCTCCTTGATGTGTTCCCCTTTTCAACCTCATGGTCATCACTAAGAATCCAACCACTGATACAACATGTCTGTCTGTCTCTCTCTTTCTACAATCACATGTTGGCCTACTTTATGATATTTTCCCTTTGGACAAAATGTCCAAGCTATGTTAAAAGTGTATTTCAACGCTCTCCTCACCTAAATTTGAAACATCATATCTGCTATTTCAAAAATTATAGCTACTATTCAAATTCGTTCACCTAGATACCCACATTTATTTAAATTTAGGTGATATGTGGGACCCTTATGTGTGCAAATTTTTGATTTTATGAAATACAATATCAATATAACAGTGACTTATTCAAATTACTTGTTGCTTTTCTTTTTTGCTTTCTTTATTTTCAACAAAGTGCAACTGGCCTGCCCCACACAGGAACGACAATTTGTAAACATGCTATCATGTAAAAGAAAAAGATTAAAAGTAGAACATGAGGTGGCAGAGGTAGGCTGGTACCATAACATGGCACGCTTTGTAGCCATGTTAAGAACTTTGCATTCCATCCTTAAGTAAATGACAAGACACTGAAGGTTTTTTTTGTTTTCCAAAAGGAGAAAGAGATCATATCTGCAACTTTAAAGTACACATCTACTTATTATGATGTAAATGGATGAGAAGAAAGAACAGTGTGGATACAGTGAAATTATTAGTAAACCATTAGAATGTCAGGAGTGGAATGAGACAAATATTTGGGGAGTGAAATTTGCCACCCCAAAATGTGTCTATATGGCGTGAGGATTAATTTAGGCTGATCATTTTTAAGAAACGGAAGAGCAAGAAGCCTCTTATTTGTTCTATAAGAACCCATTTGTATTTCTATAATACAAGACATTATAAACATCCAAAATACGTATTATCTTTCTCATTGCGTTTAGTACAGTGTAGGCCATTCAACAATTATTCTGCACCAGTTGTGTGCCACACTGGACTAGGCAATGGGTTCTCAGATGTAGTGTGATGGAATAAGGAAGGAAGGGGGGGGAGGAAAGAAAGAAAGAG